AAAAAAAAAATAAATTAAAATATTTGTGGGTGGGGGGGGGGGGGGGGGGGGGGTCAAAGAAGCACAAAATCAAAAAGGCACTTTTTCAGTGGGTGATTGAGCATCACACAGTTGCTATAGTAATGGCGGAGCCCCGTTAAAACAGCTTTAAACATAATAATCTGCTTACTTCTTATGAGGGGGCAGATTTCCACACCCCAAATATTCTCTTCATTTCTTCACTTGGCTACACAAGTCAAACACTATACATTTGCAATACAGTACAACAGACACAGACATGGAGTTACAGAGGCACAGGAGTTTTAAATTATTAGAGACACAAAAATACAAAAACAACAAATACAGGGACTTTGCCAGCTTCATTTTCTGATTTTAGACACAGGTCAGAATGGTCTAGAGCATAGTGGCCAGCAAAGTAGGCGAACAGGACACACGCGTGCACACTCACAGACACACCTACACACACCTGAATCACAATCATCATGTTGCACAGAAGATAAAAGCAAATTCAGAAGCAAGTCCTCTGGGAAGAATCACGATTACCTTGCTGATTGGCCTCCATAGGTGGTTGCTTACAGTCCTGTGCATAATGACCAGCTACCCCACAGTTGAAGCATGAGATATTGCCATTTTTCTTAGTCACTGATCCATTAGCGTTGCCTACTACATTAGTTGTTGGGTAAATTGGGTATAACCTAGCAAACCCTGCCATCTGTTGCATGCCATAATTGGCCTGGCCGCCAAGCACAGGGTCATGCATTAGCCCATTGGTATAGGGGGGCTGATGCAGGAAGACAGGATAGTGTGTTCCATTGCTCTGGTGTGCTTGGTTGAGGTAGGTGCTATTGCAGATTGATGGCATAGGAAAGGGAAATGGAACTCGAGTGAACATCTGCCCAGGCATTGTGTTAGGATAATAGTAACTGCCCATCGGTACTCCACAACTGCATCGACGTCCACAAGAGCCACAAGCCCCAGGGCCCATTTGCTGTGGTGGTAAAAGTGTCCCATTTGTGCTAGTATTCCCAACTGCAGCACTAATGAAGGAAGTGCTATCACTCTGTGCAGTACTGTGGGTCAACGCAGGGCTCGGACTGGGTGCAGGACCAGGGCTATGAGTAGGAACAGTAAGAGGAACGGCAGATTGCACCTGACCTATACCATTATTAGTTGGCTGTGGAGCAGCTGAGGCAGCAGCATTCAGCACATTGGTGTTAGGGGTAGGTAATACTCCACTTGGAAGTGATGGTCCAGAAAGAGGGTATGGGACTGTTGAAGGTGCTGGACTCAAATTAGTGCCTGAAAGAACCAACTTCACATTGGTAGCTGGAGATACGATCCCCACATTTCCATCCAGGTGAGGCAGTACCTGATTAAGACTTGCTACTTGCGAAATAGGTTTACTCAGAGGTTCTGAAGCAGTCACAGGAGAAACTGCAAAGCCTCCATGGTTGGGAATCGAAATAAATCCAGCACTGGCAGTCCCCAAACCGATATTAGTCTGTGTTGATCCATTAACAGTACAAGCCTCCGCTGACCCCTGAGAAAGTACTTTTAGCCTTTGAACTGGAATTTGCAAAGCGGGGCTGCTAGGTGAGCAGTTTCTTGGAATAAAAGTGGAAGATACAGACATTGGGGATGTCAGTATATCAATACACTTCTCCGATTCTCCTATGGCAGAGGCTACAGTGGCGACACCAATTCCAAGGGAATTCTGGTGAATCGCCTCCCTCACAGGGGGCATAGAAACTGGGCTGACTATCATACCCAGAGTTTTTCCTTCTGCTGGAAGTGGATGCCCGGGCTCCAACTTCTCTACATTAGTTGGCATCATGCAGTGCAATCCAGGCAAAATAGAAAATGGTGGAAAGTTGCGACCATTCAAAGACTTATCAATAATACTTTCTTCATTACTAGTAAGGTGGTCAGATAACTTGGCTGATGATGTATTTACTGCCCCAAGAGATGGGAATCCAGAAACAGGTTTGCCAGAATCCTCTGAATTGCTGTCCGTGTCTGTTAAAAAAAAAAAATGAAAACAGAAATTAGACTGAGAAAGGTAACGAATGCGATTATGTCAAATTAAAGTTTGTAGTTATAGAAATATTATTATAAAACAAGTTATGATAGTAGAAGAATTACTGAATTAAACAATCAGAAATGAAAAAAAAACAGGCATTTAAATATGATCTTAAAATAAAACTGAACTGCTGGCATCTCTATTACTTGCTTCTATGTACTTTCATAGCTGTGCAACAACAAAAAGCTTAGGACCAGGAGGTATGGATGGACTATTTGATTTTTTAAGTAAACCTGTCACAAACCAGGTTAATTTAAAACAAAACCAAAACGCATGATTGTTTAAAATACAATAGTAGGAGGTTACATTCAGTTAAAATCCCTCTCACTACCCGTTAGGGAGAGAGGAGGCATGGGGCCAGGCATGCTGAAGATAAACAAATGGAGATGCACATAAAACTAAAACTGCATTTATCCCTGGCTCTACTAATCATTTTGACATGCAGTTTTTGCTGAAGGCAACATGCATTTTTGCATCATGGGCTTATTTTTAATTTACTGTGACATGTTTACTTTAACAAGTAATATATGGGTAACGTATTCATACAATATACTATCGAATAACTATGTGCACTGTGTGGGCTCTCATTACCAAGGCATTATTAGACTCTGGGGCAATGATTACCTTAGGACTGTGAATGGAACATATACCATTGACTGTTAGCCAGCAGTTTATTCCATCTTGTGCATGCAAATGTGCGGTCAGCAGCATTTCCTAACCAAACGCTTAATGTGCCCATACACTGCACGATTCTCGTACGAGAATCGCGGGAAATCCCGCGATCGTACGATAATCGTGCAGTGTATGGAAGGCGTGTGACCGTTTCTACTGTACGGTCGCACGTCTTCCGTTGAACAAGCAGGCTGGAAAACCAGCCGGGAATCGTACGATACTCGGCGGGTTAGTGGCCTGCGGGTTAGTGGCCTGCTTGTTCGACAACTGCCAAACGGCCCGTTTGCAGTCATCGGAAGCCCGCCCCTCATTGCAGTCATCCCAAGCCCACCCCTCAGGGGCGGGCGGGCTTGCGATGATCGCAAGTATAATCTGCCTGTCCAAGATGAGCAGATCGTACGTTTTTTTAAGTACTTTACAACCCTCGCAAGACAAAAGTCTTGCGAGGGTTGTAAAGTGTATGGCCACCTTTAGAAAGATAAATCACACATTCACCGTCTTGTCACTCAGACAAGATTGATAAAGATAAACAGTAAAGTCTCCTAAAGGGAACCATTAAGGTAAGGAAAGAAATAAGATCCGAACCTAAACACTCCATTACCTAAATAGAAATACGAAGACTGGAACACTGTGGAGGGTTGAAGTGCAGTCAAAGTTTAATTTGAAAAAGGATACAGATGACAGATTTGCATAATAAAGATAAAATGCATGTTTACAACAGCTGTTTGTACCAATAATCAAATAGAACTTCTGTTCCGCAAACCTTGGCGAGTTTAAAGTAGTATCGCAAGAATTTAAAAATCCTTTTTTGAAACCTTCCCCCTGGGGTCTCAGTGCACATACCGGTAGTACTTCTCCCCATTCAAATATGTGCAAGGGTTGCTGAGCACCACTGTCAGATAATTCACAAGCCAACAGATACAACCATACTCTCTGAACTCCAAAATAGCAGATGGCTGTGCCTGGGCTCAGTCTTTGTTTTCACTACCAAGAAACCTTCAGAGGAGAATGGAGATCAGCAGAGACACTGGGCTAAAAGTCTGGATAAACGGTTGTGGAATAGAGAGGAGGCAAAGGCTTTAGTCCTAGCTGTACCTCCCCTCTAGGATCACCCATAATTTGGGCTTCAACCTGGGAGTTGTAGCCAGCACTGACGGAAAGAAAATGTGATCTTATTTTTAAAACCCTGCACAAATTTGAATGAGTACAAGTATGACATACAATGGTTCCCTTGGGGGATTTAACAAACATTTTTAACTTCTTGCCATAGTCCTCCTTAACACTGGACGCACATGGTTGATTTTTCGATCACTTGTGCTACTAAAATCATTAGCAACCGCTACATTTGCATGTAAAAGCGATTGATCGCACAAATTTGGGCAAGATTAGTGGTATTCCTCCATGCTACACTCCAGTATTACCTAAGTATAAACATCAGTTGCTAACAGTTGATTAGTAGCAAGATTCTACTAACAAAGTCACCGGTTTGACCATCCTTTATGCCGTAACAAAAAAAAAAAACATATACAAAACACTATTTGTCAATATTGACCTTCAAGTCTGCAATATATCTAAGGGCTCAGTCACACTAGATGCAGTGCGTTCAGGCCCGATTTTGGCCAGAACGCACTGCCTCGCATTGCGGCCGGCTCACTTTTTAGTGGGGCAGGAGGGGGAGTAGAGGGCCAGTCAAGTGAATGGCGCCATAGCCACGCCCTCCGTCCGCATATGCGATCCGCCGCACAGGATCGCAAGTCACATTGTGCCTGCGGTCCGGTGCGATCAAAATAGTGCTTGCAGCATTTTGATCGCATCGCACAGGATCAGACCGCAGGCACAATGTGCCTTGCGATTGCATTGCGGCCGGAGGGCGTGGCTACGGCGCCATTCACTTGAATGCAACGCCCCCTCCTGCCCCACTAAAAGTGAGCCGGCCATAATGAGAGGCAGTGCGTTCTGGCCAAAATCGGGCCGGAACGCACTGCATCTAGTGTGACTGAGCCCTAAACCTTCCTGTCCCCCTGTATTATACTATTACACTGAATCCATTTTCCATTTATACACATTGCCCCCTTCTGGTGCCGACCTCTGTCTTTCTCGTCTTCACTTTCAAAGCTCTCCCTCCTGTTATGGCGGGGACTAGGTGGGGAACTATAACTCTCAGAAGAGGTCTCTCCACACGTGTCATGCCCTGACCCAACTTCCAGTGTTGAATCTAAAAATAAGAGACAGAGAAATGTTCTTTAAAATATTATATTTTATCTGAATAGCCATCATCTGATTGACAGATAACTAAATCCAAATAATTACTCATCTGAAACTAGGAAGCAACCAGTAAGTGCTTAGAGAAAATCCATCTTTGAACTCTGATTAGTTTGTAATCTTGTAATTGCATTTAAGGACAGCATTATATAAAAATCTAACTACAGATATTAACAGAAATCAGTTCCATTCTAGAACTCTCAAGAGCACATTGGTGGCGCATGAGAAGATGAGAGCAGTGCACAGATGACAGTCATCTATACTTCTCAGGTATGGTGCCTGAAAGCAGTGGATTAAATACCTAAAAGAAAGGGAGGCTCATCTTTTTATTCCATAGATCCAAAAACTTGTAAAGGGAAGACAGAAGCACAGGCAGCATGTCCCCTCCCCCTTCTGCCCAAACTCCACCATGTTTACTGATAACACTATTCCTTTACCAAGCTTTCTAAATGTTCAGAACCCTAATAAGGTTCTAATTAAGAATGTGCTTCAGAGTCTGTTGCATTTTGAATCTTAACATGTTTTTCCACTTTTTGTGCTCCCATTTGCACAGCAGACCTAAAAATAATTGAATATTCTTGGGAGTTTTGGAGCAAGTAAAAGGGTAAGCAGAAATTATGTTTAATTTGTTTTACATTTTCCTATGTGAATAGGAACATGCAACACATTTAAAAAAAAAGGGTTATCCCAATTTAGCTACAAATGCGGAAATACACTTTACTGTTGCTAGTTGTGATCACCTAATGTAAAAGTAAATGGTCTGCTTCAGAGGATTAGTCTCCATCATTATTGCAGTACTCCTCTCAAGAGCATACCATCACCCTAACTATCTCAAAGGACTATAGAGTCACAACAATGTTAAAATCACAAAACACTTTGTAAACTGTTGGTTTTCCAATATATAGGCTTTGGTCCTCCTGTTGGAAAGAATTTTGTAGTACAGGTAACCCACGTTTTGCGCCGGTTCCATTTGCACCGATTTAAAAATAGCACCTTTTATGGTCAATCCGTGACCGCCATTGAAACAACACACAAAGGAACCAAAGTATTAGGCCGAACCTTCGGCTTACTTATTAACAATAGCCCGTACAGCAACCGAAGCACTGAGCCAAGCCGAACGGGGGGGGCAAAAAAACCCCAACCCTGCTTCGTCCTTCAACAGAACCTCATTTTGCTAATTTGTCTTAGTGTTTAAATACGTTCTCTAACAAACTGAGGCCTTTTTAGAATGAAGTGTTTGTATTTGAAGATCATATCACACTATAAATCCCTTTAACAGTCCCTCTGACCGGAAGTCCCGATATCAGGGTAAGTATCGGAGCATTTGGGTGAGTATAAGTACTCACCCAAAAGCTCAGTATCGGCACCGATATCAGATACCAGTATCGGTGCATCCCTACAAAATACACACTTACAATGGAAAGGTTAAACACTCATGATTTATAGGGTAACAAAAAGAGGAGATATTAATTACCTTACCCAACTCCGCACCGCACCCCCTGACCCACCCCACACACACCAGCAGACGCAGGGGTGTGGAATTCCTATCGCCCGACGCCCGGGACATGCAGTAGTTTTTTTGTACACTTAGCCCTGCTCCGGACAAGCAGAGCCAAGTGTACAGTGTGGAGCCGCCGCTCGTTTTCAAGTGATCTGATCACTTGTATGAAACGAGAGGCGGCGATTCTGTCCACACCGCCCC